TGGATGCATCTTGGACCCTCTTGGGCCGTCTTGGAAGTCATCTTGGACATTATTGGCCGAACTTCGATGCCATATTGGGCCATCTTTTGGCCGTCTTGGCGACGATGTGGCCTACGGAGACCGAACTTTGGGAGCTTTCCGGGTGGCTGGCGCGCTCTGCCGAAGCCCCTGGGGGGAGTACATACAAAAACAAACAAACACGCACGCAAAGACACACACACACACACATAAACACACCAACTGCCCAACAACCAAACAACCAAACAAGCACACAAACAAACAAACAAACAAACAAACACACAACCAAACACACAAATGAGCGAGCGAGCGAGCGAGCGAGCGAGCAAGCAAGCAAGCAACACACACACAACCAAACAAACGAACAAACCATTTGAAGTTTAGAACGCCAGGCACGCCTGTGGCAAGACCACAGGGGGCGGCGGATCTGATATTTTGGGCCATCCCGCCACCGTGCCTGGGTTGTGGGTGAGAGTTCTCAGGGATGCTTCTTGGGGTCTCTTCGGAGCGCTCTCGGGGGTCTCATGGGGGCAGTTTTGGAGCCTCTCGGGAGCTTGGGGGCCTCTTGGGGTCCTCTTGGGGCCTCTTGGGGGCTCGTGGGGCCTCTTGGGGGCCTCTTCGGGGCCTCTTCGGGGCCTCTTCGGGCCTCCTGGGGGCCCCTTGGGGCCCTCTTGGGCCGTCTTGGGCGCCTCTTTGGCCGTCTTGGGGCCTTCTCGGGTGCCTCTGGTGCCGTCTTGAGGCGATCTTGGGGGCCTCCTGGGTCATCTCGGAGAGCGTCGGGAAGCCGGAAAGGCGAGAAGGCTAAAATATTTCATCAACCCGAGCACAATCAATGATTGTAGTGGCTTCCGGCCAGTGCCGCCGATCTGGGGCGCTCCCGATGGTGTTCGGGTTCGCGTGGATGCCTATGGGACCGTCTTGGGGCCCTTTCGGGGCTGTCGTAGGAGGAGGCCTCTTGAGGGAGACTTTGAGTCTCTTGGGGGCTTCTTGGAAGCTTTTTTGGCTGTTTCATGTCGTTCCTGGCCCGACGGACGCAGTCGAAAGCCGTCTCGCGCGTCTCGCTGTGCCGTCTGGGAGCATTCTACGGGCGCTTCAGGGCCGTGTTGGAGGCTATTTGGGCCGTCTTGGGGTCCTCTGGGGCAGTCTTGGGACCCTCTTGGGGCCGTCTTAGGATCCTCTTGGGCCGTCATAGGGGCATCTTGAAGGCCTCTGGTGTGATCTTGGGGGCCTGGTATCTGGGACCGTCGGAAGGCCGAAAATAATAAAACGCTTAAATCCTTCAAAAGCATGTAGACAGTCAATGATTTGGGCCTCTTCGGGCCTTTTTGAAAGGGCATCCTGGGCCATCTTGGGTGCATCATGAGCCGTCTGGGAAATATCTTGCGGCCATCTTAGGCTCTCTGGCCCCCGTGGCGGGACTTGTGTAATTTTACGTGTCCCAACCCTGCCCAGAAAACGAAGCACAGGCGCACCCCCCGCCAACCCCCTATCCCCTTTCCCTGGCAGAGCCACCACGCCCCCCCCCCCCCCCCGCAGCAGAGCTGAAGCTCAGGCTGTAGGCTGTAGCTCAGGCCCTTTGAAGCTCACACGCCAGATCGGCGGATTGTTGGCTCTTCGGGCCCTCTTTGGAGCCCTCTTGGGGCGTCTTGGAGGCCTCTTGAGCCTTCTTGGGGTCATCTTGGGCGTCTTTGGATGGGCGTTCGGCGACTCGGGGCCTTTTTGGGCCGTCTTGAGGGCTGCTTGAGGCCATCGTGGCCCGTCTTGGGGCCCTCCTGTCTCCAGAAAAGTCCAGCGGGGAGCGGCCCCAAGCGGCGCCAAGGAGATTTGGGAATTTCGGGTCTGGGCCATTTGAAGACCCCTCAAGACTGAGGACTGATGGCTCAGAGGATTGAGGAAATGACCTGAGGACACGCCCACTTCGTGCCCAGAGGCACGGTGTCGGATGTTTAGGGAACTGACCCAGCCACGCAGGATCTGACCGTCTCGTGGTGAAGGGTGTCTGGGCGATGCACGCTCTGTGCACGCACACTCTGGCTGATGCCCTGCTCGGGCACTCGGGCTCCAGACAGATACGCAGCAAGAGCCCGCCGCATGATTCCACGCAACGTATTCGACCGCACAGGAGATCCTGTGCCTCGACATCGCACATCGCCAGGGATCCGCATACGGACTCGGCCTTGCGAGTCGCCATGACGGCTCCAATGCCAGACGCCCGCCAGTCAAAATCGAATTGTTGATGGGACTGGCGAGAAAGGTTGTCTGGCGAGAACGGAGCGCCAGGGCGCTTTCCTGTCGAAGAGACCCAAGCTGACGAGGCCTCCAAGTTTGGCCTGCACGAGAGCTGCAGCTGCAGCGACACGGTCACGTCCCCCACCAGCAACGCACTCCCGCAAGACCGCCTGCTCGAACGTCAATGTCAGCGCTGGTTGCAAGCGCGTTGCCAACCATGCGGCGCCAGACGACAGCCACCTTCGGGCCACTCGGCAGCAATGCGCCAGTCACAGCGCGGCTGACGCCGCACTTCTGCGCCCAGGTGGGGCCGCCCGTCCTGCCTCGGGTGGCCCTCCGGACTCCGAACGACGGACTCGAACCTGGGCCCTCTCCGATTCCATTGCATTCTCTCTGTAGGAAGCCTTGCGGCAAACCGTAAACCCGTAAAGCGAGCCGCAAAGTGTTCCGCATCCTCCAGGTTGTCGCGTCATGGCAGGCAAGGTGACCTCGCCAGGGGCGCGGATGCGCTGCCAGGTAGTTCATACGTGCGGTCTGACTAGTTGTGCGTGGCATGCCTGGTGTGCCCGTTTGGTGACGAGCCGTCAGTCAGTTTTTGAAGCCACGCCTGCTCTGGATGTGCCCCGCGACGCTGGTGAGATGCTCGCCAGTCTGATTGAACCCATTGGCCCGACAACCAGTGCATGTGTTCTATCCCTCGACTTTGGCGCGCGTTGATTGGAGCGGAAACCCCGCTGGGCTTCGGGGGCCCTCGTATCCCTCGGGGGCCTCTTCCGCTCCTTCTCTTGCCGTCCCTCTCCCGTCCTCCTGGGGACCGGTGACACGGCTTGGGTTTCTGTTTTGATCGCCCGCAGCTTTTTTTCGGGTTGCGAGCTGCGCTGTGTGAACAGGGTTGGGGCCACGCGCGCGTGGCTCTCCCTCTCCTCCTCTCCTTCGTTGTCTCGTCGTCGACTGCTGACTGCGATTGCACTCACAGCAGAGGAGGTCGGCCGCCGTCGCGGACGAGCCGAGGCCAGCGATGTTACGGGGTTGTTTTTGGCTCTACGGCCATTCGATCCCCAAATCCAGCAAACCTCCGAACAAAGCCCCGATCGAGCACTGGATCCAGGCCAGTCCTGGGCGCCGAGAAAACACTGACAAGGCACTTGACCCAAATTGTTGCACGGTCTGCCTCTAGAGCGCCTAGGCCTGGCAGGCAGCTCCTCGGCAGCAACGCCGCCAGAACTCCACCCGGCAATCAGGAGCTGCCGCCCCAGCACAGAAGAGAAGCCAAGGTAGCTGCTGCCATCCGAGGATCCCGGGTGCGCTGAAGCTGCCGCCGGTTGCCCCCTCATCTCTTCTCGTCTCGTCCTCCTCCTCCGTCTTCCGTGCTGGTGGCCTGCAGTGCGGAACCCTCTTGCCTCCGCGGGGAGGGTGGCTTTTTCTCCATCTGGACTCCTTGACATCCGCCGATCTGACTTCCCCAATCCGCGGCCCCCGACCGTTCTCCCGGGAGCCCGCAAGCGACACCCCGGGAACGCGATGGAGGGGAAGCCGCCTGTTGAAGCCCCCGTGCGCCGCCGCGAAGGAGGAGGAGGAGGAGGAGGAGGAGGAGGAGGAGGAGGAGGAGGGGGAGGGGGAGGAGGAGGAGGAGGAGGATAGGAGGAGGAGGAGGAGGAGGAGGAGGAGGAGGAGGAGGGGGGGGGAGGAGGAGGAGGAGGAGGACAAGAGGAGGGCTCCGGCGCTCGGCCGTTTTCGAGCAGCGGTTGGGAGCGGGCGCTGCTTCTCGGGCCGTGCGCCCTCGGCGCCGCGCGGCGGCGGCTCCGCGGGGTGCCTCGTGAGCGCGGCCTCCCGGGCAGACCGAGCGCGCGCGGCACGAGCGGGGCAAAAGACACCCAGGAGAGGTGGGGGCGGCGGGCCCAGGAGGCGTCGGCGCAGATCGGCGCGCGCGCGTCGCCTCCTGAGGTGCCACTCCTGGGAGGTCGAGTTCAGCATCGGCCCAGGCTCAGTCCAGACTTATCCGGCTCGGTGGCCTCTGAAGCGGGTTCAAATACCCCTCGGTCGCTCTTGCGAAGACTGCCCTGGAGTTGCCTCCTAACGCTGTCTGGCGGGCTATGACCCCGATAAATCGTTCCGAGGCGCTCCGGGACGCTCTCAGATCGTTCCTGCGCGCCTTCGATTGCCTGGCATATTTTCCAGAACCGCGGGGTCTCAGAGATATCCGATCATCCCGCAGTTTTGACTTTCTCTTACGCTTCCTCTCGGGCGGGCGGCAATCGGGTGGGGGGCACTCAGCTTGGAAGGATCGATTGCAGGAAAGTGGCCCCAAAGGGACCTTTAACGGCTCCTGAAATGCCACCGCGGGCCCAAAGGGTGCACGAAAGACGCACGTTTCTTCACCCTACGATTCTTGCCCCCCGTTAACGAACACCCGTTCTTTGCTGTCCTTTTCCCACCTCGCCGCCCCGGCCGTCCCGCCTCCTCGTCCGCGCACATGCCTCGGGCCATGATCCGACACCTCGCGTCATGAATCATGAACGCCCCACTCTTGGACGCCGCCGAATTCCGATGCCCCGCCGCCTCTGCCCCGCCTTGCCTCCACAGCAGGTCCTGCTTCTCCCCCTCCTTGGCATCATCCCGGATGTGTGCATTTTTTCCGGTAAGGACCATCGAAGAGCATTTGAGGTCGTCTTGCGGAACGTACGCGCACGAAACCGACAAATGCACGGGGAATGGACGTCCGAGCGATGGCAAGCCTCGCTCCCCGCGCGGAGGTGGGTGGGCGCCCGGCGACCAGCGACGCGCCGCCGCGGCCGCTGGACAACTGCGACCGGGTGTTGCCGCTGTTGTATCTCGGCGGGGCTGCCATTCGCCGGCCGATGTCAGCCTTGTCTGTGAGGTTCGGCGGTTCGAGGTTTGTGGACGTTCTCGTCGTTCCTCGCCGGATTCTCAGCCTCAGAGTGCCTTTCAGCGGCTGCCCCTCGCCAAGAGCGTTCCGGGGGTGCCTGGATCGTCCCGAGCGGCCGCGGGAGACCCGAGCTTGTGACCCGAGAATTTGGATAAAGTCGGATCGGGATCTCAGGGGAGGAAAAATACCCAAACCGCTGCTCGAACGGGAGAGCCCTTGTCGCTATGGCGATTCTCCCCGAATTTCTGGTCTGAACGCACCCTAGGAGAGGTCCAGGGAGTAATTAGCGGTATCGTTACCTCTCTGTCCCCCCTGGATTTCGCCCCCAGGGAACAGTATCGTCTGACTGACCCTCATTCTGGCGAAGAGAAGTATGCGCATCCATACACCGATCCCGACCTTGCTGCCGGGGGGCTTTCATCCTCCTCCGCATCATCATCATCATCATCATCATCATCATCATCATCATCATCACCCTCACCATCACCGCCACCAACACCACCACCACCACCATCATCATCATCATCAGCAGCAGCATCATCAGCATCATCATCATAATCATAATCATATTCATAATCATCATCACCATCAGCAGCAGCATCAGCATCATCGTCATCATCATGGTCATCATGGTCATCATGGTCATCATGGTCATCATGGTCATCATGGTCATCATGGTCATCATCATCATCATCATCATCATCATCATCATCAGCACCATCATCAGCATCACCATGCTGCCATCCCTGTAGGGGGCTCTTCCTCCATGTGCTGATCCTCCCCCGCTTCACTCAACCTCCCGGTGCTTTCCCCCCGCCCTTCCTCCCGTCCTCCTACTCTCATCTTATCGTACCCTCTCCTGTACGCTGAAGCACCACAGATAAACAAGGTATCTCTCCCTGTGCTCCTTTCCTCCACCTCCTCGCCCTGCTCTTCCAACGTATCATCCCCTCCCTCCTATTCCTCCACATCCTCCTCCATCCGTTTTCCTCCCTCCTCTCCCGTCCTACTCCTCCCCCCCCTGCGCCTCATCCTGCTCATCCCCGTTCTGCTCCCCATCGTCATCACCTCCTCACTCGTTATCGTCGTCATCCCCTTCTTCTCATCCTCCTTTCCTTCTCCTCACTCGTCCTTCTCCCTCCTCTCCCTCCTCCCTCCCCCCCCTGCGCAACACTTGGGATCGAGCCAGTTCCGATTGCGCTCGCACGCGCACCCGCTGGAAGTTCTTCCAGCACTGCCGTAGCAGGGCCTTCCGCATGGCAAGTGCTGCACGTGCCCGGTGACCTGCAGATCATGGCGTGCCCGTTGGGAAGAAAACACCCTCCCGGCCCCGACCTTGCGGGTCTACGTGACGGCAGCTTGTAGTTGTGGATGGGGGGGTACGATGTGAAGAGAGGAGAAGAGGAGGGAGGCGAGAGGAGGGATGATTGTGGAGGCGAGGGAGAGGAACGGCGAGCGAGGGAGGCGGAAGGCCGGGGAAGGAGGCGGGAGGAAGGAGGAGGAAGGAGGAGGAGGAGGAAGGAGGAAGGTGGGCGGGAAGATGGAGGATGAAAGATGCAGAATGGAGGAGGGAGAACGGGGGAGGGAAGCGGGAGGATGCATGAGTGAGCAGGGATGAGGAAAAAGTGACCGTGGAGGAGGTATAGGAGGAGAGGGGTATGAGAGACGAGGAAAGAGGGAGGCCTGAAGATGGATGTTCCTCTCGCGCTTCGAGCTTCATTGCGCTCTGACCAGCCCAACCAGCGGAGGAGGAGGAGGAGGAGGAGGAGGAGGTGGGAATGGGAAGGATGGTCAAGCGAAAGGAGGATGGAAGGAGGGAGGGGGTGGAATGAGGAGCGAGGAGGAAGGAGGGAGCAGGGATGAGCACGGGGAGGATTGAGGAGGGAGAGCGTACGAGGGAGGCGGGGCTGATATTCGAGAGGCAGGAAGGGAGAGGAGGGAGAGAGACGGAGAGAGAAGCGACGAGGGAGGAGGTTGGGAGATGGGGAGCAGGAGAAGGAGGAGAAGAAAGAGGAGGAGGAGGAGGAGGAGGAGGCGGAGAAAGAGGAGGGACGAGGAGGAGGAGGAGGAGGGGGAGGAGTGGGAACGGGACGAAGGGGAGGCGGGAAGCGGGAGGCGGGAGGAGGGCAGCAGGGTTGAAGGATGGTGGAAGAGGAAGGACATAGAAGGGAGAGGTGAGGAATTATGACAGATCAGAGAGGACATGAACAGAGCGGAGAGGGAGAGGGAAAGGACAAGGAAGACATGTGGTGACGACGACGACGACAACGACGATGACCACGACCACGACGAGGACCACGACCACGACCACGACTACGACGAGGGAGGCGGGGGTGTCCTGAGGCCCTCGTGGTGCACGCAGGCCTGGTGACCGACTGCGGAGATGGCGAGCCCGTCCTGCAGACGAGCAGCGTGGACCCCTCCTCCTCCTCCTCCTCCTCCTCCTCCTCCTCCTCAGTTCACCCTCTTCCCGCTCGTTCCCCTCGTCCGCCTCCCGATCTCCGCCTCTTCCGCCTCCTTCACCTCTACTTCCCTCTCTTCTTTGTCACCGTCTACGGGTATCGTGCTAAGACCAACTCGAGGTTTCATAGATGGGCTCTCGTGGCTGTCAGCGACAAGCCCTTATGGGCGAAAGACACGCGCCCAACGACCGACAAACTTGAGCTCGCCGGCATCGGCAACGCCGACACTCTCGTTTGGTCACGAAACGTAAAGCAGCAGGCCATCAGCCCTTCTTGGTAGTCTAGGCCACCAGCGAAAGCTGGGGGCCCGACGCCCCGTGGCGTAGGCAGGCCACCACTATCCAATTCCTTTTGTGCAGCTTTGTTTCCCAACCCTTCGTGGTTGGGTATTCGTTTTGAATAAAGCACTGCGGTCTCCAGTCCTCCCGCCTCTCGCCTCTCGCTTTCCTCTTGTCTCCTCTTGTATTGTGCGTACCTCGTGTGTTTGTGTGTGGCTGCGGTACCTCTTGTGTGTGCATCTTGCCAAGGGGCTGCGATCTGCGACACTGTCGCCACTTTCGAGAGCTGCTGGTGGGTCCTGCGGAGTGAGGCACCGCGGGGACCTGAGCGAGACCTCGCCGTCCCTGGGGGGGCTGCGATCTGCGACACTGTCGCCACTTTCGAGGGCTGCTGGTGGGTCCAGCGGAGCGAGGCACCGCGGGGACCTGAGCGAGACCTCGCCGTCCCTGGGGGGCTCTGGAGAGCTGCTGTGGTATACGTTAGGCGCAACGGGCGCATGGCACAGCCAACAGGGGTGATTTGTGAAACAGGCCATCTGCCGGGCGATGGCCATAACGTTGCGCCTCCACGTATCCCGCGGGGGCTCTCAAAAGCTGCTGCGGGATACGTTGGGTGCAACGGGCGCATGGCACAGCCAACGGGGGTGATTTGTTATTACATAGCCTTTATATCTTGATCGGGGGCCTGCTAGCCTTCCGATGTACTGTTCGCAAAACCACATGCGTCCATGTTACGTCATCGTCCCCGTTGTAGCAATCCTGATGTGCTTATGCCCCGCATTGCGCAAGGGTTGGGTACGTCACCAGGGTAATTCCTTCCTGGCCCAGACCTCCTGGCGTCGTTAAAAACGAAAACTTTCTGACACTGGAAATGCCTTATCATATTCCTTTTCGGACTCCTTTTTTCTCCTTCCTGGCCCAGACCTTCAGGCGTCGTACAAACACACACACACACACAAACATGTATTTCTAACTCTGGAAATGCCTTAGCAAATTCACTCTTTTTTCCTTCCTGGCCAAGACCTCCTGGCGTCGTTGAAAAAATGCTTTTCACCACAACACATACATTTCTTTCTAACTCTGGAAGTTCCCTATCAGTATCACATTCCTGCCTAACTCATTGTTCTTTCCTGGCTCAGACCTCCTGGCGTCGCAACAAACATATAGTGGTTCCTCACTCTGGAAATGTTGTATCACCTTCCTCTACATCTTTGTTTCCTTCCTGGCCCTGACCTCCCAGCGTCGTAAACAAAACAAGCAGGAACGACATTCTTTTCTAGCTACGTGAATTCCTTATCATATTCTTTTAATGACTCCTGTTTTTTCCTTCGTGGCACAGATATCCCGGCGTCGTCAAACAGAAAAAAACACGAAATTCCTTTCTAATTCTGGAAGTTCCGTATCACATTCCTTTATCGCTCCCAGACCTCCAGGCGTCGTCAACAAAAAACGAAATTCCTTCCGCAACCTTCTGTAACTTTCATATCAAAATCATTTCTAACTCCGTGTTCCCCTCCAGGTCCAGACCTCCTGGCGCTGTAAAGAACACCAAATTCCTTTCTAACTTCGGAAATTCCTTGTCACATTCCTCTCTAACTCTTTTTTTCCTTTTCTGGCCCAGACCTCCAGGCGTCGTAAAAAATACAAAATTCCCTTCAACACTGGAATTTCCTTATCACATTCCTTTCTAACTCCTTTTTTCCTTCCTGGCCCAGACCTATTGGCGTCGCAAAAAAAATCATCGAAATAAAATCAACAAACAACGACATTCCTTTCTAACTTTGGGAATTCCGTATCACGTTCCTTTATAACTCCTTTTTCATTCCTGGCCCAGGCCTCCTGGCGTCGTAAACAAGAAAACGAAATTCCTTTCTAACTCTGGAAATTTCAAATTCCTTTCTAACTCCATGTTTCCTTCCTGACCCAGACCTCGTGCCCCTGGCGTCGTGCGCGCCAGTTTTGTCGCAGCTACAGCATTCCCTCTGATTGTATGTATTTACTGTAGCACCCTACAGTACAGCTACAGCGTTAATTGCTTAGCGAATTATCAATGTTGGAAAAACATATAGTAAGCGAGAGGGGGCAACAGGGCTACCAACGCCAAGGCAGACCAAGGTGGCGACAAATGGCGGCACCGGTCTTTGGAGCGCGAGCAGGGACAGGTAGAGCGCCAAGTCGAAGTCCAGGAGCCGACCCCCCGCGCCAGTGAAGCGACGGGACTAAACGCCGCAGCGCGGCTCAGCGGAGCGTCGGCTGTTGAGGCCGTTCCCGCCGGCGACGCAAGGCACGGCCGCGGCCGCGGCGCAGAATCAGCCCACCCCGCGGCACGCGGACCACCGGCCAGGGGTGGCCAGCTCCGCCAACGAGAGCACTGGCAGACAAGCCTGGCCAACATATTATTCGGTTCCCCAGAAAAGACGGCTAACAATCACCAGCTTGACCGGCTGCGCCACCCAGTTCAGACGGCAGCTTCCGCCACGGCAACGACAGCCAGCTAGTGCTGGGAGCTCGCTTTCAATGCGATTTTCCAATTTCGTTGTATTGCGTTCCATGACGGTTATTTCGTCTGTTCTTAGTTGCTATATATATATATGTATGTATAGGTGCATATAAATATGTAGATGTATGTGTATGTATGTATACATACATATATATGTACACATATATATATATATATATATATATATATATATATCCCCGCGCACGAGGCCCGGGCGCCCGGGGCCCGGGCCCCGAGCGCGCATGGGGGGACCAGGGCCTCCGAGACCGCTCCAAGAGCACCCTGGAGGGGCCGTGGAGCCCCCAGACTGCCCCAGAGAGCTCCGAGACGCTCCCAGAAGCCCCGGGGGTCTTCGACAGGCCTCTCCAAGGCAGCCCTGATAACCCCAACGTGGCCCAAGAAGGGCTCCAAACCGCAAATGCACGGCCGAGAGGCCTTCAAGAGGCCTCAAGAGAGCTCCGAGAGGCGTCCCAAGAGAGCCCGAAGAGGCCCAAATCCTTGATTTGCATGGTTTTTTCTCTATGTGTTTCTGTTTCTCGCGTTTTCGACCTTCCGACGCTCCAAGACGGCCAACGACGCCCGCAAGACCACCCCAAGACCGCCGAAGAGGCCCCCAACAGAGCCCCAAAACGGCCCCTGGGAGCCAGAAAACTGCCTAGGAGGAGCTTCAGACGGCCCAAGAGAACCCCAGGACAGGCCCAAGCTGGGCCACAGAGCGGGAGCGGGAGGCCCCAAGGCGGTCCAAGACGGCCCAGCTGGCCCCAACGTGGCCCCACACAACCCAAGAGGCCTCCAAAAGATCCCAAGAGTGCTCCGAGAGGCGTCCCGAGAGAGCCCGAAGGGGCCCACATCCTTGATTTCTGGTTGTTTGTCTTAATGTTTTTCGTTTCCTCGCGTTCTCAAGTTTCCAACGCTCTAAGACGGCCGGAGACTCCCCAAGACCGCCGAAGAGGTCTCAAAACAAAAAACAAGATGGCCCTGGTGAGCCTGAAGACTGCCCAAGAGCAGCCCAAGACGGCCCAAGAGAATCCCATGAGAGGCACAAGATGGGCCCCAGAGCGGGAGCGGGAGGCCCCAAGGCGCTCCAGGACGGCCCAGATGATTCCAACGTGGCCCCAGTTCGGCGTCAACCCAACATACTTATACTATATGTGCGTCGCCCCCCCCAAGGGCGCCGCGCGCACCGAGAGATCTTATAGTATATGCGTCGTGGCGGGCGCTTTCTGGCCACACCGCTCGGGAAACGATATACTACAAGATGGGTATACTACATGTTCTGGTCGGACGCGCGCCTCCGAGGAGGACATTTAACATTAGTATGTCTCTGTGCGTCCCACCAGAGGAAGTCAAGACGGCAAGCACACAGCCCAAGAGGCCTCCAAGAGGGCCCAAGAGAGCTCCGAGAGACGTCCCGAGAGAGCCCAAAGAGGCACATTGGTTTATTGTATGTTTTTCGCTTTCTCGCGTTCTCGAGCTTCCAATGCTCGAAAACGGTCGCGCCCCCCAAACCGCCCCAAAACCGCTGAAGAGGTCCCCTGAAGAGCGCCAAGACGGCCCCCGAGAGACCGAAAATTGCCCAGGAGGAACCCCAGACGGCCCAAGAGAGCTCCAGGACAGGCCCAAGCTGGGCCAAGAGCGGGAGCGGGAGGCCCCAGGGCCCTTGCGCTCCAAGACGGCGCAGATGGCCCGGGCCTCCCCCCTCCGTCCCTCCTTCCCTCCCGCCCCTTACCCTTGCTTCCATTCCCTCCTCTCTCCTCTTCCTCCCCGCACCCTTCAGCTTTCGTGCTCCTCCCTCCTCTCCTGGTGCGGCCCCGCCAGAGCACCAGACAGGCCCCGCTAGAGCGAGCGGGGCATCGCTATAACCTTTCATTTCGCACATTGCTTTGCCCCTCCCACCCCTCAAGGGCGGCCTTAGCAGAGCGAGAGGGGTGTTGCTATACCATATACAGTCCTTGTTTTGTCTTGCTCCTCCCACCGCACCCTAGGTAGCCCCATCAGAGCGCACGGGGTGTGGCTATACCATAATTTTCCTCATGTTACGTGTTCCTCCCTCCCTTTTTGGGCAAGCGCCGCCAGAGTGCCAGGACCCCCCCCGCCAGAAAGGGCAGGGCATCCCTACACCATACTATTGCACGCGATTCGTGCTCCTCCCACCTTTGCAGCGCGGACCCGCCC